CCGAGATAAATGAGCATAACCAAGAGTCCTGAGCTTGAAACGGTGGCTCCAGTTTGCTTCTGTTATAGGTGTATGTAAGTGAAGATGAATGGTAAGCACAACTGCCTCCAAACGCAAAAACTACGAGACCCAGGACATGAAAGTAGTGAATATTAAATGCAGGAAACACGAACGGTGTGTGTGTGTGAGTCATGAGATGGTGGTCGCAACGCCAGCGGCATACAAATTAACACAATGGTGCGATTAAATGATTGTGAACGTTAACATTACATTTCTACAAGCGTCAATGCGATGCCAATATCCTTGCGAAGTTATCCTTGGTCATCGAACCACGCGTCACCGGGGTAAGGTTCGACCCGGACTGCCGCGTTCATTACTGCCTGCCAGAGATCTTTTCTGGCGCCAAAAGTCATTCGCAGCATCGGTTTTTAAGCAACTATCTAGGTATATCCAATTGCAATCTGGTCCTTTTTGAGTTTAAATCTTAACAAGACCTGACTAGTTTATGATTTATCATTAATTAATGAACATTTAATTGACTTTGACTATATTTATGATATTTCCGATTTAGGTACTTTAAAAAAATTGGTTTTATTTAATTTTAAAATTTTACATATAATTGTCTGTCTGAGGGTTCGGTACATAGCTGAACGTATTGTTGTCAGTTTTAACACAAAAATCCACTAAACAATTGGTATTTCGACATGAACAAAACCGATTTTCCTTAGAGGTTTCACCTTTGTATGAATCGTCTTCATAATTTACTTCGGGCAGCCTTGGACGATGTCGTAACAACGCGCGAGTGACTTCGGAGGGCCGCAGAGGTCATTGTTGCGATAGAACAGCCTCCGACGTGAATCGCATCTTAATTAAAGGCCTAGTGAATATCGCGTCAGGCACGGCTAGAGAGCACTTCGAAAGTCGGAGCAAAACTTTTGACTAGTAAGTAAGAATATAAGAGAATTTTAGGTAGCAGCATCTATAGTGGTGTAGTATAGGACTAGAGGCTAAATGTAGGTAGGATCTGTGTCTGTTTGTGTACGAGAAGTGCTTGGGAACAGTACAGAGCTGCAGAGGACTGTGTCTGTAGTAGTGTAGTATAGGACTGGAGGCTAGATGTAGGTTGGATCTGTGTCTGTTTGTGTACGAGAAGAGCTCGGAATCAGTACAGAGCTGCAGAGGACTGTGTCTGTAGTAGTGTAGTATAGGACTAGAGGCTAGATGTAGGTCGGATCTGTGTCTGTTTGTGTACGAGAAGAGCTCGGAATCAGTACAGAGCTGCAGAGGACTGTGTCTGTAGTAGTGTAGTATAGGANAGGCAGAGCTGTCATGGGCTCTCCGATTAAAAAATGGGAAGGTGTTAATGAAAGGGGATCCGAAGCATCTGAACTTAAAACGCAAAGTGGACGCGAATTTAAGATCGCTTCGACCTGACACAAGAACGTATGCATCTCGTCGTACGTTTGGATGCGATTACCTACAACGCGATGAAGATGGTGTTTAAAACTACGAACACCAGACTCATGTAGTCCTCCGAAATGGCTCGCGTATGGAGGTTGAAAGTGCCACGTAATTCCCTGTTGAAGGGTTTGTTGGTTAAGTGCGCTTTGCACAGATTCCCTTCGTAAAAACTCGTAAAGGTCTTGAAGATAGTGGTTACACCCGACAAAGTTCTTTCCACAGTCTGAATAAATATCGGTGCATAAACCACGACGGGACGTGAAACGTCGCAGGGCTGCTATAAAGGCTTCTGTGGAAAGCTCTGAAACTAATTCGAGGTGTATCGCTTTAACGCTCATACACACGAAAACCGACACGTAACATTTTATAATTTTTGCATTACGCACCTTATTGGCGCGCACGTAAAATGGACCAGCAAAATCTACCGCGGTCTTTAGAAACGGTCGCGCGGGGCGAACACGAACTGCTGGGAGTGGTCCCATGCGCGGTTGATTGTGCGTCGGGCGCGCGCGGAAGCACTGCACGCAGCGATGTATGCGCTGCCGCACGATGTTACGGCTTGACAAAATCCAATAGCGTTGTAAAAGCGCGTAGCGAACGGACTGCGGTCCGGCATGTAAATTACATAAGTGTGCATCGTCAATAATAAGATTAGTTAAAGGGTGTTTTTTAGGTAGAATTAATTGATGTTTGGATTCAAATTGTAAAAGCGATTTATGGATTCGACCACCAACTTTAAGTAACTTGTCCGTATCATCCAAGTATATCATCAAAGTATTATTGTGTCTTCGGCATTATAATACTTAAACAACCTCGAAAAGTACATGATTATATTTTAAGGTCTCAAATACTGTGGAGACCTTAAAACATGTTTACTACGAGCCATTTTCCATAGTTCTTTCATCCAGTACCTTATGCGATCACACAGTTTAGCCACAAGATACTCCTGGGTTAGCTGGTTTTAAAACCGATAATTTATTCCTTCTGATGAGCAGATAAAGCTCACAGCGAATCTGCTATGAAGCCACTGAAAATTTTACTGGTGGTAGGACGTATCGTGAGTCCGCACGTGTAAGTACCACCACCTTGCCTATTTCTGCCGTGAAGCAATAACGCGTTTCGGTTTGAAGGGTGGGGCAGCCGTTGTACTGTTAAAAAAGTGAGATCTTAGAACTCATGTCTCAAGGTGGTAGGCGGGATTTACGTTGTAGATGTCTATGGGCTCCAGTTACCACTTAACACCAGTTTGGCTGTGAGCTCGTAAACCCATCTAAGCAATAAAAAAAAGGGTGATCATCCACTTGACGTGGCATTGTTTGTCAAGTGATCTCTGGATCTGATGAACGTTACAGCATCTCGGTTTCATTGGTGCAAAAGTGTGCTTTGTGGCAGTTGGGAGTGTGGGACGATGGTACGAATCCGTTCCAGCAAGCAACACGTTTTCCCATCAGTAACTCAGATAAATTCGCTAATTTCAAGAATAAGTTAATTTCGTTGGTAATTGTTCAGCGTTCAGCGTCAGTCAGTAACCACTAAAAAAGAAGAAATATCACATCTCAAGAAGCGAGTTCGAGGACTCCATGATTGCTTCGCGACAGATAAGCCATTTTTGCGGTACCTAGCTGGGTGAACTTACAAAACGATCTACCACCAGTAAAATTATGTTATATTTCGCGTTAATTGGACAAGAGAATTAAAAATCACCCATTACCGGACCAAAATTCATCGGTTTTACCTAGAACCGCTTTTCTCGGTGCGGTAACAGCGATGTTTCTTTTTGCGTGCCTTAGAATTGGAATGATATGCCCCTGCCGTAATGGGTATGGTATCTACTCATACACTACTTCCCATCATGAGTAGCTTCGATTGGCGATTGCGGTCTTCTCTAGTAATTAATATTCTTTGGCGGATTTAACGCTTAAAGGCATTCTCTACCAGTCGACCTAGGGTAGTGCATAAAAGGACGCAAAGGATGCATCGGTTGATAAATTAAAGTAAAAATAGTTTTTTTTTTATTGCTAGATGAGTGGACGAGCTCACAGCCCACCTGGTGTTAAGTGGTTACTGGAGCCCATGGACATTTACGACGTAAATGCGCCACCCAAATTGAGATATAAGTTCTAAGGTCTCAAGTATAGTTACAACGGCTGCCCCACCCTTCAAACCGAAACGCATTACTGCTTCACGGCAGAAACAGGCAGGGTGGTGGTACCCACCCGCGCGGACTCACAAGAGGTCCTATCACCAGTAAAAGTTGCTAAACTTGCTTATTAAAATTAATACATAACAGATATTTGTTAATAAACACATAAAACATAAATGTTGTTTTAATTCAAATCGCGCGCGGGGACTTTTTTCAGAGTTTTTAGTATTGCCGAAGTAGGTACACGGGAAAACGCACTGTCTTCTGTTCCCAAGAACTGATAAACCATACAATTATTGTCGGGCCGTCGCTTAACTTTTTCCCTACCTAATCCTTTATAACTTAAGGAACTATTCCAACACGCTGACCGGTAATTGAGCTCACGGGTTCAACCTGAGACAATTGCTAAAACTAGCCCTAGCAAGAGCAGTGCTTCGCTGAATCTACCACCGGATCGAAATCGCGACCCGCTGAGAAGATCCGGTGAGAAACTCAGTAAGTCATAACAACCACATAAAGATACCGCGTACATTTAGATAATTTGTTTAATTTTTTGATTGCTTTTGATGGCTGGACGAGCTCACAGTCCACCTGTTGTTAAGTGGTTACTGGAGCCCACAAATATCTACAACGTAAATACGCCACCCACCTTGAGATATAAGTTCTAAGGTCTCAAGTATAGTTACAACGGCTGCCCCGCCCTTCAAGCCGAAACGCATTACTGCTTCACGGCCGAAATAGGCGGGGCGGTGGTACCTATCCGTGCGGACTCACAAGAGGTCCTACCACCAGTAATTGCGCAAATTATAATGGTATTCATTGTCTGTTACTCAGATTTGATTTTGTAAGTCATCGCTTGATAGTTTATTGCGAAAATGCATTTTAATTAAGTGTACAATACGTTTCGTTCAGTTTGTAATTTAGATCGTAGATCGTATGAGATTGTTTGATTAATTTATTCCCGTACATATTCGCTGGTAGCTTAAGGGAGTATCCTAGCTAAGCGCATATGGGTAGGTGACCTCACGGACTCAACTTGAGAGTATTTGCTAACTGATTGATCCACTGAGAAGATCTGGCGAGAAACTCAGTGGGTTATTATTGTTTGCACGTTCGGCGTGCGGTAGCTAAGGATCTTATGGCAACAGGAAATTAATGCGTGCTCACAAGTTTTTTTTTATATAATAGTTGTTTCAAAGTGCGTTTATACTTCCAGTTCTTAGTGCTAAAATAATATATTGTGTTCTTATGGCCGAAATTAGGCAATTTAGAAAACCTCTTGGCGACTTTTAACGAACAAAATATTTCCTGTTTGTAGAAATATAAAAGAACCCGTTTTTACAAGGCTGCACAGTTAAATTTCTTTAGTCATAAGTTATAATAATAAATATCTTACCTGATGCAAATGACCGTTGGCTGCCAACAATTATCGAAAGAAAAAACTTTCAATTAATATTGCACCGTAGTGAGAGAAATATTTATCGAAATATCACAATGTGAATTCACTGAAAATGTTTACAAACACAAAATTTTGATGAGTTCCCGCCAATTTTGACAGTTCCGTTTTCGGCCAGTTCGTTCGAGTTTCTATGTAAATTTTTTTAAACGACACACACGCGACTCAATCCACGCTGCATGCCGAACTGAGCTAAGCTAAACTAACTGACTACTTTCGAATCTCAACACAACCTACAAAATAAGTTGGTTTAATAAAAAAAATCCATGGTGACTCTATATCCCTTTAACATAAAGCTTAAAATAAAAAAACATAAACGCACCTTTAAATTTGTGGAATGTCTCAAGTCAGCTTCATTGAGATTTTGAATTTAGGTCTTAATCGATGCAGATAAACACTATTTTCGTTTGGAGTCTTAATTAGGACTGAGATGTCATGTTTGTTGATGTTATGTAAAAAGTACCCGCCATAATTTTCACAATTTACTCGTATTCAAATATAATTATGCAACATTTATATTACAACGATCACTAAAATAACTTTTCTTGTCCAAAGCTGAATTAAATGTTGTTTTTCTAACATGTACTTACTAAAATATTACCACGTAATGATACTTATACTTGACTCACGGTTGGTCATAACAGTTTTTTAACACAACATAGCCAACTCACCGAAGCCGCTTACGCGATTGTCTAGTTCTTCTCATATGATAATGTATTTCTTGCTTTATTATTCTCATAAGCTAAACAAATCGCTAGCCCTTTGCAATTCATCATATAAACGAAGAACGCAAGATAATTATGTGTTCCTTGTTTTTATCATTGCATCACCCGTTGTCGGAGCAGTCTATTTCTACCACCCAGAACCGCTGCGCTGATTTGGATCGCTTCAGAGTTCGGTTGCCCATCGAATCTGGAGTGTAATTGTTTGTTGAAGGCTTTTAGCGTCCGTAATCCACGCGTGCTCGTAATCCGGTCCCCTTGTCGCGTGGGGCGTGGTATTGTTTAAAAGGTTTCCACTCCCGCGCCACTTAGGTCACGATAATCGACAGTGTGTTTAAAAGAATCATTTTTGTTGAGTTCCATCCGGATTTAAAGACTCAGAGCGCTTTTATTTCCTACCTATTGTAGTGACCTTGAGAGATCAAACTAGATTCACAGAAAGAGTAGGTGAGCTCACGGGGCTCTAACCTGGTGAAGTCACTAACACTGATCCTAGCAAGAGCAGTGCTTCGCAGAATCTGCCACCGGATCGGAAACGCGACCCACTGAGAAGATCCGGCGAGAAACACAATGGGCAAGCCATGGTTTGGTAACATGTCTTCACTCGCTTTGTATGTATATGGCGATGCAATAATTTTATAACTTGGCTCTAATATCCTGACCAATGGCGACATTACACTGATGTTTCAAGGGTCGTCTGATTTCGAGGTGTTCCAAGCGCTGTGGTCGCCGGCAGACTGACTACTGGGGCTTGTTAGGAGCAGACAGATCCTTCTACCCTCTTTTTAGTCCATCGGGTGTTACTGCTGGAACTCGACACACACTGACCTTTTTTTTCCTACCTGTGCTGATAGCCTTGAGGCTATTTCAACTTCACCCTAACGTGTGTAGTGAGCTCACGGGGCTCAAACCGGAATGCTGCTCACACTGACCTTAGCAAGAGGAGCGCTTCGCAGAATCTACCACCGGATCGGAAACGCGACCCACTGAGAAGATTCGGCGAGAAACTCAGTGGGCTGTGTCTATGGGTTAATTCGCTCGTCGAGCCCTTCGTCGCAAGCGACGAGTTCGACGAGGACGGTGACCGGTGCTTGTGGTGCCTAAAAGCACCGGTAATGGATCGGGAGGATCCGTAATGACGTGCTTTGGGTGACGTCGACTGTTTACCATTCGGTCTACAGGATCGGGTATGTAGTTTCCTGCGGCCACGACAAGAGGGTTCTCATGTCGGCACACTGACCTTACATACTCGCAGTGTATTTTTTTTTCCTACCTATGCTGATAGCCTTGAGAGGCTATTTCAGCTTTTCCTTGACGTGCAAGTGAGCTCACGGGGCTCAAACCAGGAGTGTTGCTAGCACTGATTCTAGCAAGAGCAATGCTTCGCAGAATCTACCACCGGATCAGAAACGCGACCCACTGAAAAGATCCGGCGAGAAACTCCGTGGGCTGTGTCTATGGGTTAATTCGCTCGTCGAGCCCTTCGACGTAGAGGTAAGGAGCGCCATCTGTTATAAGCTACAAGTTGAAGTGAAGTCTGCCTGTAAACAGCAAGTTATTGTTGGAAGACTCACCGCAATACCGCTAGTGTAGCGAAGTGGAAATTATATGAATTTAGCAGTTTTTAACACAGTGAAGTGTGCCGGGTTGAAGTGAAGTGTAGTGGTTTATGGTGCTGTTTTTAAAATCCTTCCACTTGCTACTGTGGCGCCACCTTAATTGGCCCCTTTTCAGCGGACACTTTTTAATACACTGAGCTGGAGACTCCTTACTTCTACCCTCCATAGCGTTAATAAAAAATCCCCGACATATCAGTACATTGGCGACACTGCCAAACTTGCATTCGGGACACCGATGAACTAAATACACAATTCCGTCTCAATTCTTTATTCTTTATTTGAATGAACATCATTTCATTTCATTTTATGCGTATATATACATATATTTAGAATTGGGATCGTGGCTCATAAAATAAAATTATTCCACTGTTGCACTTTTACTCTTTTTGAAAGAATTAATTAGAGGAAGAAGTAAACTAAGAAGAAATGGATGGATTGCGTGAAAGACGATATGTGTAAGAGGGGAGTGGGCTAAGAAATGGTATAAGATAGAAGAGTATCGAAGGAGAAAACATGTTGCGCCGACCCCAGGTGACTGGAAGAAGGGCAAGACAGTGATGATGATGATAATATAGTTATTAAAAATTTATTCACATTTTTTTTACTCCTTGCTCATTTAAATCTCTACGCCATCTTCTTTTTCTCTCTCATTCTGTCTCTCATTCTTTTTTCCCTTTCTTACTGTTTCGAGAGGAAATCTTACACTCACACTCACATCTTAACACTCCGTTCGACAATATTTCATACGTTCTTACCAATTCAACATATATATCGATAGAAGGTGTTTATTGGCAACAATGGCATCGCAAAGAACCAATTTTGAGACAAAAAAAAAGAAGAAGAAAACAAACAAAAATAAATACATAAAAACTCGATTCTGTAATTTTGTGATTGGCAACACATTACATCCCAGAACTACGAGCGCCGATAATACAAATTCATACAATATATGTCTCACTATAAGTACTGATAGCAAATAATACATACTTATTCATACATACTTCATGTAAAAGTAAAATAAATAAAAAATAAGGCATGAATATTTACAATATAAAACGCAAAGATATTCATACTACTTAAAGATCTAATAAATTATAGAAGACAATGAAAACAAAAATAGAACAGAAGTGATACTTCTGTGGGCGAAGATTTGAAGTCCTTTGCGTCTACGCTCCCGACAAAATATTGCATTACAATTTAATCTCCGGTATCGTCGTTATTACGAAATAAGTAGCGTTTCAATTGCAATTACACCTGCGTGCGCTTAACAGAAGTTAAACTTCTTTGCATTTTCCCGCGTAATAATATCGATATTATGCATTCTCAGGTTGGGGCAACGCTTTAAATCTTTATAGCTACAAAAAAACAACCGCTAGCACAGCTTATTCGCTTCTGACAAGCGCCTGTTCAACTTCCGACACTTTTGTACTGAATTTACACACATGTGACGTCATCTGCGGCGTTGGCGGGGCTGAGGACCCGTAGAGCTAGGAACTGTCCATTGGCTAGGGCAATTGCGCTGTTAAACGAATTTCTCTCCGAAATCCAGGAAGCTGACGTATTTGCCGATAGTTGGGGAATACTTTATTCCAAAATAATTTTATTTTTAGTATAATATTATAACAGTACGTAATAATTTCAACAATTTTTTGTGTGTTAACGAGTCAGGCGTTTTGGTGAAAACTGTAAGCCAGACTTTGTATTGAATGGAATAAATAAATAAATTAATAAATCTGTTTTATTTTCAAATCCCTATTGAAGGTTTCATCTTTAGCCTATCGGTTCAGTTCAGGTAACGGCACTCAAGTTACGAACGTCTTTTATTTGCCTACCCACCTTTTTTTATTGCCCTTGTAGGCAGGCGAGCATACGGCCCACCTGATGGTGAGTGGTTACCGTCGTCCATGGACCTCAGCAATGCCAGGGGCAGAGCCAAGCCGCTGCCTACCGCGTGGTCTTATTTTATTACTGTTTATATATTAAATTATTGTCTAATTATAATTGCATAAATGGATACAAAATGCTATGCAATAGCTTTACCGCGGCAGTCCCCGAGTGCCACACGTTTTTTTGTATATGTCGGTATGAATAACGCCATCTGTCGTCAGATAGGATATCGAAACAACTAGTTCAATGGATAATGTTCTGGAACTTTGTAGATACACTCGAAACATGAGATTGGCGATTTGGAGGCAGTCATTCGGTGATAACTAAGAAGCGAATTGTGATAGAGTGACTACCTTGATGGCATTAATTGATGGCATCGACATTTTTTACGACACGTGGCCTGGGTTTCAAAAACAAACTGGTATCCAAGTTTCTATTTTTATAATTGATGAGAGAATGTTAAGTAGTTGACTCTTGGTTTCGTGTTCATTTTCAATTTTTGTTTTTCGTTCTGTTAACAATATTTAAATTTAACCTATTTTTCCGTTTGTAAAATTTCTGTAACATGTCATAGTGTGCTATAAGAGATTGCTGTACATGCCTGTAACTGGCTTACAAACCAGTACTTAATTTTATACTTGTTAATTTTAAGCTTGAATGTTTTGTGTGTATAGCTGTTGGTGTGTCTAAATAAATAAATAAAAACATGAGTGGATGAAGGGTTTTAGTACAATTTTTAAGTTTTTTTGAGTTTTAAAGATTGAATGAAGGTGTTATGCGCCTATGAGCCATATTAGAACTTATAACTCCGTGTTTAAAGGCTATTTTTAGAAATTGCATGTGTAGAAGGAGTTATATATGAAGAAGAAGTACAAGTAACAAAAGTTCGCTGCCCGTTTTCTCAAAATTAACAAATTGTATCATATCCCTTCATCCACTCATGTCTTCAATTAACTCTCACTGCGGTGTAGGTCACCGGTGCCCTACGCGGCGCACTCAAGTTATTATCTCGATTTTTCACTTCAATCTTCTTACTAAAGCGCCGGAATATCCAGTAGACTTTAGGAGAGACGAATCCTAAGATAATGCGAGTGAATCAATTTCTAAAAGTCATACATTAACAAACAAAAGACGACAAAATAATTACTGGAGTGCGCCGCGTAGGGCACCGGTGACCTACACGCCAGTCAAAGGGTTAAATTGGATCATAATTAGTATTTCGGTGAATAATTTCTATTTGTCGTGTGCTGCGACTCCTATGTAAGGCCATCCTTGTGCAGACTCCGGGTCATTGACAAACAAAACCCACCCTGTATTTAATTGGAATGTTCTTAGAGACGGAAAATCGAGAACACCTGTCGTCTCTTTCTAGCTCGCTGTGTGCGCGATCTTCTGTCTTTGTTACGGGACGCGGTTCACCCGGTGATTCGTGATTTTTTACTGAGAACTACCGTCAGTTTAGCATAATAGTTCCTCTCGTCCCCATATATCAAAGTTTCGTTTTCTTCCCCGCCGCCTCGCCGCGCGCGCTGCCGCTTCGTTTCGCCGTAATCCTGATATTCCTAGCGTCGCTTCCCCTGCAGACGTTCCGAACTTTAACGTTACCAATACTCGAACCTAAATTCACTAGAACGTTCTCGATGATTTTAGTTTTCGGCTCAGTAGGGAGGCCCCGGTCCCTTGCGGCGGGGGCGCGGGCGGGCTGCCTGCTGGCGACGTGCGCCACGTCGAGGCGTCCGTCCTGCCCGCGCAGCAGCATGTAGGGTCCGGGCGGGCAGCGCGCGGCCCCCAGCCTCCTGCTGGAGAGCGCGGCGGCGAGCAGCGCGGAGAGGTCGGGCGCGTCTGCGTCGGCGAGCATGTCGGTGACGGTGAGGCCGGCGCAGTTGGGCACGGAGGGGCTCGCGTCGCCGTCCACCAGCACCTCTATGGTCTTCTTGTAGTTCTCGATCGCGATCCTATCGCCGCTTTCTGTGGAGCGTGTTTTTTTTTTAATTGCTTAAATGGGTGGATGAGCTCACGGCCCATCTGGTGTTAAGTGGTTACTGGAGCCCATAGACATCTACAACGGCTGCCCCACCCTTCAAACCGAAACGGATTACTGCTTCACGGCAGAAATAGACAGGGCGGTGGTACCGCCCGCTTGTGAGTACCCGCGCGGACTCACAAGAGCTCCTACCACCAGTAATTACGCAAATTATAATTTTGCGGGTTTTGGCCAAACTAAAAAAGGGTGAAACTAGGGGGAGGATCAGGGTAGGTCACCTCTGAAGACGGCGACGGCGGCCGCGACGGCGGAGTGCAGCGCCGTGTCCCCGCCGGTGGGCGCGCTGCGGTTGGCGCTGCCCGGCTCGGCGCGCAGTAGCAGCCGCGCGTTCTCGTGGCGGCCCCTCTTGCAGGCGATGCTGAGGGCCGTGTTACCTGTAATGTTAATATAAAACACGCAGCTGTTTTAATCTAGGAAGAGAGATAGGGTTAATAAAATCTTCATGCTTTTTTAAATGAAACTTCTTTAGAATCGTTGTGATTTCAAACTCGATGAAAAAATAAGTCCATAGAGACACAAACACATAAATGTATAGGATTCAGCCGGCGAGAGAATGAGATAGAACACATTAGACGTTCTCGGTCTCCTCTTTGTGCGACTCTTCGTAGCATCCCCACTATCGTCTACTAAACATTGTCCATGTGTATGCTCCTGTGTAGCGGGATAGTCAGTATATCTATATCTTATTTATAAGTTTCACTTCTACCGTGTGTGACTTGCACACACACTCACTTTTTTTTTCCTTCCCAAGCTCCTCCTCCTCCATACTTGATACTGAACCTTAGAGGCTATTTCAGCGTAACCTTAACTAGTAGGTTAGCTCATGGGGCTCAAGCCTGACGACGTTGCTAACACAAACCCTAGCAAGCACCGTGCTTCAGAATCTACCACCGGATCGGAATCGCGACCCACTGAGAAGATCCGGCGAGAAACTCAGTGGGCTGTGTCTGTGGGTTAATTTAATTTACTCACCGAGCCCTTCGTCGCATGCGACGGGTTCGGCGAGGACGATGACCGGTGCTTGAGGTACCTAAAAGCACCGTTAATGGATCGGGAGGATCCGAAATGACGTGTTTTGGGCACTCTTCATGCCTTTATCCCACTACTTAGCAGTCTTCGTGGCCTTAAAGATAAGACGTCCGGTGCATTCGTATCTAGCGATGCACCGGTGTTCGAATCCCGCAGGCGAGTACGAAATGCGTACTTAACAAATGTTGACGATTGACTTCCACGGTGAAGGAATAACATCGTGTGATAAAAAACAAACCCGAAAAATTATAATTTGCGTAATTACCGGTGGTAGGACGTCTTGTGAGTTCGCACGCACGGGTAGGTACCATCGCCCTGCCTATTTCTGTCATGAAGCAGTAATGCGTTTCGGTTTTAAGGGCGGGGCAATTGTTGTACTGTTAAAACTGAGACCTTAGAACTCATATCTTAAGGTGCTATGGGTTCCAGTAACCACTTAACCTCAAGTGGGTGAAGCAATAAAACTTGTAGTCGGCGCTGCATGTCCTGTTTATACCTCCAGGCCTATCGTACGTCTGACGGGTTCTGACCCCGGGTGGAGATCGGACCCCGAGTGAGAGTGTAAGGGGAGTCGTTTAGTGGGTAGAGTCCTAAAACATCCTTAGACTCGAGGTCTGGTCCCAACATCTGCAGACCGTCAAGTCGCACATAATTCACCCAATCCATCCAAGTCTTTACCCCCTCATTGACGTCACCAATAATAAGGGCAAACGCAGTCGCTATATCCCGGTTCTTATGGACCGGAAACACACTGTGAGATCTCAGTCGAACTTTTAAGTTGGAGGCGGGGTGGCTTATGACCCGCTCGCATAGACACCACTGCCCTGCCATTTCCTGTCGTGGTTTGATGAGCATGGCGAAACCTTTGCACTGCAAAACCGCGACTCACCTTCGCTGTCGCACGCGTTGCACATGTAGCTTAATAGGTAATCCAATATAATGTCATCCGAATATTCAGCGATGTTCTCCTTCCACAAGGACTCCTCCTCCAGATAGATTTTCCTGTAAAACGAAATTCTGTTGTCTATCATCTATCTATCATTACCAAAACGATACCTCATTTTGCCCGCGACCATTGAAACTATAAAGTATTATAAACTATTAAGTAAAAAAAAAAAAAAAAAAAAAAAAAAAAAAAAAAAAAAAAAAAAAAAAAAAAAAAAAAAAAAAAAAAAAAAAAAAAAAAAAAAAAAAAAAAAAAAAAAAAAAAAAAAAAAAAAAAAAAAAAAAAAAAAAAAAAAAAAAAAAAAAAAAAAAAAAAAAAAAAAAAAAAAAAAAAAAAAAAAAAATTAAGTATCCGACGCGTCAGAAATGATACAGTGACAATAAATAAGCCAGATATAGCTTTTTTTTAAGGCTTAAATGGTTGGACGAGCTCACAGCCCACCTGGTGTTGAGTGGTTACTGGAGCCCATAGACATCTACGACGTAAATGCGCCACCCACCTTGAGATATAAGTTCTAAGATTTCAGTATAGTTACAACGGCTGCCCTACCCTTCAAACCACGTTATTGCTTTACGGCAGAAATAGACGGGGCGGTGGTACCTACCCGTGCGGACTCACAAGAGGTGTTACCACCAGTAACAAAGTCTTCCGTACTAGGGCAGTGCAGCCAGACGCGCGCTGCTTTCTCACCTGGCGTTCTGCTTGCAATGCTCGAGGATCAACTCCAGGTGCTGGCTTGAGACCTCGGCCGCGTGGTGCAGCGGCAGCCTGTCGCTTTCGTCCGCGAGCAGCACATCAGCGTCGAAGCTTAGCAGCACCTCCGTGCACTTCGGCTGGTCCTTCAGTATCGCTAATTTCAAAGCCGTCTGCTCAGAAAACGCAAGTGATCAGACCCTAAGGCTTTTTTGAATTGCCTAATTACTGGTAGCCTTGAGCTATTCCAACTACGAGCGATTCGGTAGGTGAGCCACGGGGATCAACTTGGAAGAATTTCCTAACACCTAAAGCAAGAGCAGTGCTTCGCTGAAACTACCAAAGGATCGGAATCGAGACCCACTAAGAAGATTCGGCGAGAAACTCAGCGGGTTGTGTCTATGGGTTAGGTTTTAAGTAACGGTGCTCAATTCTTGAAGAGCTTAAAAGCACTGAGTGTGGATCAGTGAAGATCCGATAGGACTTGTTTAGGACAACGGCGGCTTTGCTATGCCCCTTCCCCTTGGTTAGATATATAATCAGAAGCGACTACAATAAGGAGGTATTCGTATTACGCCGCTTTTTAGAAGAAAACCCTAGTGGACTCCAACTAGCATTACTAACTATGCTTTTTTATTATATAAACGCATGACGCTTTGGTTTTAAGCTTTGAACATGAACCAGTTCCAGTGGCGATACCGTAAACTGATCACAAAGAGGATTCATAGATATGTCAGTTTCAATTTTGACAGCACCGGGGCTCCTTGTTCGAATAGGTCTTTGTATATTATGTAGTGGGCACATTAAAAACTCGATTCCACTTTTCCTACCTATACAGCAAGTAAAATGTCACTCTTATCATTTAATGTTTCTGACATTCGATGCATTTGGAAAACGTGTGTCTGAACAAATCTTATCTCAAATACGTCTGTCTAGGCGTGTCAAATATCCACAATATTCAATTCAAAATTCATAATTCAAAATCATTTATTTCAACATAGATGTCAGTATGACACATTTGTTGAATGTCAAAATACAAATAACAATGTTAACTCTACCACCGGTTCCAAAAAAAGCCACAGTCCTGAGAAGAACCGGCGAAACAAACTCAGGGGGCTTTTTTTTTTTGTTTTTTCTCATATATTTTCTTTTTTTTAAATAAATAAAAATATTTACAATAAAAGAAAAAACAAGTCAAAAATACAATTAAAAAAATAATAATAATAATGAAAAATGAAAAGGCCAGGAGCGAGCGCCTCATTCCCACGTAGTGCCATCTAGTAAATAATCCTTAACTTTATAATATGCCTTGTTGCACAAACGTTCCTTAACAGTTTTCTTAAATCTATGAACAGGTAGTAATTGAACGTTTAGTGGGATCTTGTTGAAAAGCTGTACACNAATAATAATAATAATGAAAAATGAAAAGGCCAGGAGCGAGCGCCTCATTCCCACGTAGTGCCATCTAGTAAATAATCCTTAACTTTATAATATGCCTTGTTGCACAAACGTTCCTTAACAGTTTTCTTAAATCTATGAACAGGTAGTAATTGAACGTTTAGTGGGATCTTGTTGAAAAGCTGTACACCCAGCCCCCTAAAAGGGTTGCTTATTTTCTTAATTCGAGCCGCCGGCAACGCAAGCCTATGTTTGTTCCTAGTGTTCACATTGTGCAAATCGCAGACTCTGGGGAATTCTTCAATGTTATTACGCACGTACAATAAATTTTCAAAAATGTATTGGGACGCTAAAGTTAGAATTTTGATTTCCTTAAATCATCAGACATATCAGCCTTTTCGCGGATGATACGGCTATTTTGCTATTCGATTAGGTAGATGTCGTTCATGCATATGTGGCGTTTAAGAACGCACCTTTTTATGATGCGTAAGCTGGAACGCACGAGAGGTGGGAAAAAGAAGATAGTCTGTGACACCAGACCTTTTTTCACCGCCAAAAATTTAAAAACGTAAAAAATAAAATATAATGTGTATAATAACTAATATAATATAATATCTTAGAATTATTTATGCCGTTACAACAATAAAACTAATATTGTTTCAACTGTGGTGTTAATTACATCAAACACGATTTTACGGCGAAATAAAGAAGGGACTCTATACGGACTCTCTCACATAGTATGCTCCAGATCGCGGCCACCAATTTAGGATAGTGGTTCCGAAAGTGCCGCGTCGACATCAACCCCACGAAAAGCACAGCCTTTCAGCCCCTCAAGCTCTGCTTTTGCATTTAGCAAGCAATTTGCATTTAGCCGAACAACCAGTAAAGTTTCAGTTACCACAATCCGCCGGGAGCTACAATGGATAATTATTCGGCCATGGTTCTTCGAAGACGAATGGTCAGCCCGTGATTCGTTTACTTTAAGTTGTAGAATCGGCAAGTTCTCGGGCGACCCGACGGGTAGGTGAGCTCACGTGCTCAACCTGAACGACTAACACTAGCCCTAGCAAGAGCAGTGCTTCGCAGAGTATACCGCCGAATCGGAATCACGACACGCCGAGAACATTCAACGAGAATCTCGGCGGGCAAATTCCAACGCCACTTAAAATTCTTTATGAATCATCAGGAGGCGCAGAAATTCATTGTAATCAACGCCAATTCACGTTTCTGATTTATCGATTTATGTTCTGTTAAAAGTAATTCCCCCCGGGGACGTTACCGTCAACCGGTGACGTCAGCACGCACAAATGCGATGCACTAGTGTTTACCGCAAACGTAACCAATCGAGGTCACGTCCCTAGAAGCACATTTGCGACGCGCCCAACATCGGATGCGACTAGGAAAATAACGGGTGCGGTTTAAAAACTAAAAAATATATTGGGTTTTTTTTGTTTTTTTTTTTATTGCCCTTGTAGGCAGACGACCACACGGCCCACCTGATGGTGAGTGGTTACCGTCGCCCATGGACTTCAGCAATGCCAGGGGCAGAGCCAAGCCGCTGCCTACCGGTTTACTTACAGGAGAGCCATTTGAAGTTTAAAATTTGCAAAAATTATCTTAACAATAAAACTTCTTCGGTTATTCGAATGAAGTAAACTTAATTGAAGTTCATTTAAAAAGATCGAACTGTTCATGCTAATACCAAATAAAACGGAGCTTTAATTACAAAGATAAATGTCGCGTGTTAAGCGAAATGACGCTTAAACCAAACAACATTTCACCCCTCGATATTATATACTTAAATAACAAAGAGAACTAACAAATATTAATCTCATTTTTTCGTTTATTCTGCTGATACTGGATAAGATACAAGAGCAACTGTTTTGGAAAGAGGCAAAAATCTTCAATTAAGACTATCAGGATGTAGAAGCAAATCACCAGAGTATTTAGCGAGTGAGCACCAGTCACCGCTGACGTCGAACCCGTCGCTTGCGACGAAGGGTTCGGCAAGTAAATTAACCTACAGACATGTGCACCTAATAATCACTCTGCAGTAAAGATGATAAGATTTAAACTCACCCAATTGCCATTCCCTGGTATATCTACTGAGTGGTTCTTCTTTTTTAATACTTGACACTGTCTTTTTAACATTTTGATGTTGTCATTAAGGACTGCATTGTGGATAGGTCTGGAAAATGTGGCTTTGTGAGATACATTGATAACAGGGGTATGTGATTTTTTGTCCATTTTAAATACTTCCAAAGAACCTTCAATGAGATATCTGTCGCAACTATGCTAAGCAACTACCGATCAGCCGAAGGCCAATCAAAGGCCTCTATGTCAAAGGCCTATCACAAAATTTCTGCTTCACACAAAGTACATCCAAGTTTTGAATTGCAAATAATAATGCCACAATTTTAAAGCATTTTATTACAGCTCCATTGATATTCCACGAGTTTTGATCATAGCACGGCACCGGGCATATCTGGTTCTACTCTTAGTACAATATTTTTTTACTGCTCAATTTATGCTACTTCGAAAGCTTTAGAAGAAGTCAGAATAAAATCCATATTGAATGTTAATTAAAAATGAATTACTTACAAGTTTCCATCTTCGTCTCGTACCAAGCAAGTTGTCCACTCAACGTAAGACAGAGATGATGCAATCTTTCTTTTATGCTCATCATTCATAATAATCGGCCGTTCAGATTTCATCGTTTTAAAATCATACAAGTCGGACACGTCCAGAAAATTTTCTAAAGAGTTGCATTTGCTCAGTGAATCGTTTCCCGGCGTCTTGATGTATTTATCTACATCATTTAGCAGGGCCAAGGGATCTTTCAGCAGTGTGCTCCGCGTCGCGAATGATGACCAAGACCCTGTCACATCGCTTGAATTATCATTACTAAGTTCAATGTTTTTCTTATAGAAGTCCTCCGGATGTATTACAAGCTTCTTGATTTGGGGCTCTTTAACAACGTAGGGCTCTATCGGTCTCCGTGCTCTCTTCGGTTTTGGTTTTGAAAATATATTAAAAAATGTTTCCTTCGTTTGAGATGAAGTTTCGTTTAAATCCGGTTTTTCAGTTTGCGTTGAGGCATCTTTACTTTTCTTGGGAGTGGTCAGGAGTGCTAGTATGCCGCGGACTCTAAGCTCCTGGGATATGACCGAGCATAGAGCTGAGAGCACAGTTTCGTAGTTCGACTGCCCGATCAGCTTCACTAGGCCGTCAGAGTTCGCGGCTTTGACTCCATCACTGCCCGTGAACGTCGCGATCGTACGACTGGCGTTCGTAATACGATTCAACGTGTTGATCACGGCGACTTTACGTCCTGCCGCCCGTAAAAAATCACCATCATTCGATTCGTAGATAAGATCGGTTTTAAAAAACTGTTTATTGTTTATTACCTTTAAGTGTTTATGGTTTTTAATTAATCCGGTCCTTAGTATCACCACGGGACGAACGTTTTTAACTTTAGATGACATTTTAATTTAATTTCCATAGAATACCTACGTAAACACGACTAAATTATTTTTGGGGCCTCCTCTTTCAAATAACTCGTTTTACTTTTCTGTATGTGAGTGCGCAACTGGGTAAATTAATCATTTATTTGTTGTTGTTCTGTTGAGTTTATAGGTTAGTTTGCACTATATAAATAAAACATTTGGATGCATTTATGAAAAAATTATGAAAACAAAGTTCATTAAATTACACAGAATTAAGGGAATTCCCACAACGGTCGCAGATTAATGCGTTGCCAGAGTCGATGAGTATAGATTACCCTTGGAACAAAGAGTATAAACTACACTATTCCCCACAATCACGTTTACATTGATACCAGACTTAAAATGATATCCTCACTCAATACTTCATTAATTGCAATACATAGTATGTGAATGATTAATTATTTATTGAGTTATTGATTTTTATAATATATATATTTTTAGTTATATTATTTATATTATATTAATATAGCTTTAACTTGCGATCGTTATATATATTCAGGTGAAATTGAAATGAACAGGTTTGCGTTCGCTGCGAAGAAATAGCATTCATATACAGTGCCTTTATCAAAAGAAAATGTTACTGTTTCTCCTAGGAATGGAGTTGTATCTACAGCACTATGACGTGATTTTATTCAAACGACGTTCAAATATAATGCTTATCAGTATTTAGAACGTGGCTTGCTTTAACCCAGCATTAACAAAAATTAAGAGCGACAGTAACTACCTACTGACTCAGACATATACTTGCCTGCCTTGATAAAAATAATTGTTTTCAACTATAATCGTTCTGTACAAAATAAAAAAAAAACTTATAGCATAAATTTAACTAATTTGGTAAAAACTATTTTCATCTTTATGCCTCCTAGATGCTAATTCGAGACAAATTTTAAAATAGTGTTCATTATTCCTTTCATTAACGAGAGAAATAGACTAAAGTAACTAAATTACAGTGAGGAAGGTTTGCAATTTAAATCCTTACTGTCATAATATACATAGTTTAAATTTGTATTGAGAATCTGACTAAGCTCAAAATTAACAGTAGTTCCCCTTCAATAAAGTGCTTTTACTTTAATATAAATACTTACCGTCCACACAGCCGTTTAAGCTGCAGTACAATATAACATGAAAAAAAAATCGAATGCATATTTTTTTTTTATTGCGTAGATGGGTGGACGAGCTCACAGCCCACCTGGTGTTAAGTGGTTACTGGAGCCAATAGTCATCCACAACGTAAATGCGCCACCCACCTTGAGATATAAGTTCTAAGGTCTCATGTAAGTTACAACGGCTGCCCCACCCTTCAAACCGAAACGCATTACTGCTTCACGGCAGAAATAGGCAGGGTGGTGGTACCCACCCGCGCGGACTCGCAAGAGGTCCTACCACCAGTAATTACGCAAATTATAATTTTTGCGGGTTTGATTTTTATTACACGATGTTATTCCTTCACCGTAGAAATCAATCGTGAACATTTGTTGAGTACGTATTTCATTAGAAAAATTGGTACCCGCTGGAGATTCGAACCGGGTGCATCGCTCAACACGAATGCACCGGACGTCTTATCCCTTAGGCCACGACGACTTGCCGTGCTATTGACTAGCACCAATGTTCTTAGTGCGAGTCTTTAAACTCAAATTTGTATGCAGTTGGAATAGCGCCCATAGCAGCAAACGTAGGCAAATGTTCCAACCCCATATAAATTTGAGTTAACTCTTACGCTATCGAGAACTTTAAAAAACTCACACTAAGCACACAAGTGTTTTAAAACACAGTTATATAGTTTCGAATGTTGTGAGTTCTAAACTATTATTTACTTAAAGTTGTGTGGGCAGTCACAATACTTGTTTTGGTCGTTAAGCTGCGAGCAGGCTATAAGTAAAGGATGTAATGTTTGCGGACTAATAAACATACAGTGACCACAACAAGCTATTTAGAGAAATTTTAAGGCGCCTAGTTCTTCCGCATGGCTAGGTACTGCCACACTGCGAAACAGGATTGACTTCCGGATTAGAATGTGGTACAGTTGTTCTACGTTTAAGCCTTAGGCCTCATGTATCAAAATGGGCAACGTTCGCGTTGTGGTTTCTACGGTCTCTCTTAGCACCAGATAATCCGTAATCTAATTCTTCCTTCGATGTACATATTTAAAAACAACGTAACTGGACGTGTCAACTGCAATGATCCCAGTAGTTAAACAAGGAAGCACGTCTAGCTCGCTATAGTAACCGGCGAGATAGCATTAATCTTTTATTTTATTTTATTGCTTAGATGGATGGACGAGCTCACAGCCCACCTGATTTTAAGTGGTTACTGGAGCCCATAGACATCTACTACGTAAATGCGCCACCCACCTTGAGATATAAGTTCTAAGGTCTCAGTATAGTTACAACGGCTACCCCACCCTTCGAACCGAAACGCATTACTGCTTCACGGCAGAAATAGGCGGGGTTGTGGTACCTACCCGTGCGGACTCCCAAGAGGTCCTACCACCAGTGAAAAACAACATAATCAAAACACAACAAAACATGATCAGTCACAACATCAGGTAAGCTACTAGTATACACCTTTCTCGAATTTTAGAAAGGTACAAGATTTTTCGAAGCAATCTTGCCATCCAGCCTTTTTAGTCTAACTTTAATAAACGCTATTAAATTTAAGCAATATTGATGTTGTCTCTGATTCGGGGGAAATACCAATTACTTTCAAACTGGAACGAGGAATTGCTTGCAAGCAATTAAATTAATTTACCAATGATTACTTTAAAAGAAGTGCATAATCTTCTTAGTTGATAGTATTTAATTTTAATTGGTTTTATACTTGCAACTAATATTAATAGTGTGGTGCGTAAATTTATTACGTCTACTATTTTTTTTAAGTAAACATTAAATTCATCAAACTTAATAAAGATTTTTTAAATTAACCAACATACATCTACACCTCGATAATTTCCAATAAAATAGAACAAATCAGTATTTTGGCAATTTTGTTAAATTTTATATGACAAGTTCTTCACGAGTAGTTCTATTTTTCCACCTTGAAAGGCAAAGGTATCATACTATACAGCCTAATCCTTTAAATTATTTTGTATGAAAAATGATATGGAGTGAAATGAAATGGAGTCGATTAATTTGAAACATTAATCAATTGTCATGAAATTAAATGAGATGAGATGATATGAGGTGAAATATAATCTCAGTAAAATTGTTGTTATTTACTGAGACTTTTTCAGTGGACTTTTTGGAAGATCCCGAGATGCTACGTCCAGCGGCTTTGTTTCAGTTTCCCACATTTGTGTACTTTTACACAGTTACGAAAAAATTAATAAAGCACCGTTATTACATATTTAAACCTGTAGAAACACTAAATAGACAAAATAAAACAATTCACACAATTTCGCTCCTTGCGTTCCCGCCAAAAAGTCACGAGTTCTTCACGCTGAAACGTAGAGCTATCTATGGTTGTAAATAATGAAAAAACAAACATAAACGATACGCTTTTACATAATATTATACCGTACATATTATTATATTAATATACGTTTGACTTCGCTTCTTGGTGGATACATTTAAAGTTTTTTTCATACATTTCAGTTTTTTACATACATTTACTGGTGGTAGGACCTCTTGTGAGACCGAGCGGGTGGGTACACCACTTCAGCATTTCACTCCCTCGGTGGAAGATCTTCCTTTTGTCGTCAATTTTTTATTTTTTTATTGCTTGGATGGGTGGACGAGGTCTCCCCTCCCCCTCCCCAACCGACGTGGCGATAGTAAAGGCACACAAGTGGTTTAAACAAAACAAAAACAAGAAATAATTTTGGTTACATTTTATTTATTACAATTTTTTTTAAAAAAAAAGGAGATCAAAAATTGAAAAGAACAATAATTAAAGGCAGTCTTATCGAAATACTGTATACAATACAAAAGTATCTATCAAATTTGTTTAATATTACAAATACAATATTCGTGATGTATAATTAATAAACGATCCTAAATAAAGATTGAATATTCTTATATTAATCACAACGAGTTCCCGCTCAACTCTTTGGGGCCCACGATTTTTCAGGAAAAGAAAACACATTAATAATGCATTTTGAATAAACCCTTACTGAAAATACGATAAGAAATAAAATACATTTTACCAAGATCGATCAGTGCAAGGACTTCAGAAAACTAAGCAATACATGGAACTGTTTGTAATCCGCCTAACCTCAAAGAGTTCAATTAGGACACTCGCTTTTCCCCCGCTTGTTATAGATATCTATTGAGAACACACAGAAGATGGCGTTTTAATAAAATATAAAATCTTACAGTATTAATTTCTCGAACGCAGTGTGGTTTAAAACTTCAATAGAAAATTCGAGACAATATCAACATTAATCATATTATTTTCACGTGTTTATTTATTAGTTTATTGGTCTATTATAATTAAGGTTTTTAATTAAAAACACTAAAAGTCACGCGTCTATTACAGCCGGACGTCATGATGATGTTGGTGAGGTCTGTAAATATATTTGTTTTTCGCAATATTCAAATCGAGGGGTGAAAGGCTATTTATTTGGTTTAAGTGACATTTTTGCAACTTTACCATTAGAATTTTTTACCAGGAGAATACCATTTAAAGTTTGAAATTTGGAAAAAAACATCATAACAAAAAAATATCAGCTATTTGCATGGAGCAAACTAAATTAAAGTTCAATTAAAGACATCGAACCGTTGATGCCGATACCAAATAAAACACGCCTTTAATTACAAAGATAAATGTCGCGTGTTAAGCGAAATGTCGCTTAAACCAAATAGCTGAGGACTTCTAATTAAGAAATGAGGCCGTCAGGGCAAGAGTGGCTTAACCCACAATTTTTCATAATCATACTTATAAGTTTATTGCAATTTATATAAAATATAATAAATTTTGATGCAAAATCGGCCTATCCATAATTACACCCATAGATAACAGACGGCTTTGTAAACATTATTTATGCGCGTATTTTTTTTTGCCTACTCAAATTAAATCCATGAAAACTTAAACCTCATTGCTCCATAATAACTATTGTAAGCTTAGGCCACTTTTGCGCGTCAGCGTCAGACGTCGTCAAACCTCAAATAGTCTGCAGCAAAGACTCAAAAATCTATACTAATATTATAAAGAGGAAAGATTTGTTTGTTTGTATTGAATAGTCTCTGAAACTACTGAACCGATTTGAAAAATTCTTTCACTGTTTGGAAGCTACACTATTCCCGAGTGAATAAGGCTATAATCTTTTTTGAAAAAAATTTGGAATCTTTACTAAAACTCCAATAATGTAACCCAAGGTGTAAAATATTCTTTACATCGCGTGCCATGCGAAAACTATTGACGATAGAATAAAATAATGTACTACGACTTTGTAGAACACATTATTATTACAAAAAGTGTCACGACAGCATATGTCTAACAATTACAGTTATGCCGCAATAAGTGTTATTTTATTTAAAAAAATAAAACAACGTCACTATCGTTGAATTTTTTGTTAAAGACCCGAGCGTAGCCGGAGCGGACCGCTTGTATAGTAATAAATAGCGTCAGATATTAATGTTATTTTTAAGTTACTAATATAGATTGTAATACTAACATAATGCATTGTTTTTACCGAAAAAAAAAGCTTTCACCCCTCGGTAAGGAAAAACTTTCCTCCTCGCGATATTTCGAATAAATGTTTAAACAATCAAACTCGAATTTAAACCGTAAAAATGTTTTTAATTGCGTTGACGTATCGCGAAAACCGAAGCTTCCTACTATTGTGGAACAATAAAAATATCAAACATCATTTCAAACCCATAGCGGACTCAGTGATGGATTTACGCATAGACCCTTGAAGCCCGCGGACATGATTTGAGCGGGAAAACTTTTAAAACGCCTAACGTTCAGAGACGATGATAAAGTCAAGACAGTTTCCTTTGTAAATGAGTTCAGATTGTTTACTTTAGATAAAAAAATAAGTTTTTTTAAATCTATACATATAAATAAAATTGGAGTGTCTGTTTATAATATTGAAATACCCGCTTTTTACTAAATGCATATGAATATAATATATACGGTAGATAAACCAAAATAACATTTTTTACAATTTTTGTCTGTCTGTTTGTTCCGGCTAATCTCTGGACCGGCTGGACCGATTTTGACCAGACTTTCACTGATAGGTAGCTGATGATATAAGGAGTAACTTAGGCTACTTTTTTTAGAGTGGCTTCGCCCCGCGGCGTCCCCCGCGGTACGACAATAACCGCGGGTAACATCGCGGGACTCAGCTATCAATAATAAAATTTAATATTTCCGAAGCGAAGCGAGAGCGGGTTGCTGGTTTAAAATATAAATATTAGATTAAAATTAATAAAATGTATTCTAACATTAAGGGCGGCGCAATAAACAAGCCTTATGGCGGCATCAAACCTAAATCCATCACTGAGCAATCTACCTATCCCTCTATACGTAATCGGAAAAAAAAACCGCTTCCTTAAACTAACTTATTCATTACAAGTCCATCAATACAATTTAAGTTCTAAGGCACTATGTTTTAAGACTAAAATTTAAAAAAACGAGACAAATATCGATATTATTCGTTTTGCCGTTTGGTGAGCACGAATGACTATCGAAAAATTATTCGTATCGCTTTCGAGAAAAAAAAATATGTATAGGGTTTAAGCAGCGCCCCCTACCGGCCGTAAAAAGAATTAATTTCAGTAGCACGAATGAATTTACATACTTTCGTTTCGCAATCGAATACTCAGGTTCTCTCGTAACTCGGAACTTATAATCGAGAACACGAAAAATGTGCCCGCTGAGTTTCTCGCCGGATCTTCTCGGCAGGTCGCGATTCTGATCCGGTGGATTTTTTTAGGTTTGAGAGATTGCTGGTGGCTTGGAGGCCTTTCCAGTTTTACCAGGACAAGTGGGCGAGCAAAGGCTCAGCCAGGAGGGGTGGGATTTGCTAACAGCTAACCGAAGCAGCTAAGCCTCCAAAGGAGACCTAACAACTCAAGAGTAGCTGCTTCGCGAATGAATCTGCTACCGGATCGGAATCACGACCCGCTGAGAAGATCCGGCGAGAAACTCAGTGGGCTCGATCCGGTGGTAAATTCGGCACTGCTCTTGCTAGGCCTAGCAATATCCCTCAGGTTGAGCCCGTGAGCACACCTACCCACGCGTACCTGGAATAGTCCCTTAGACCTGATTCAGAAAGGACGAATTGGGCGCAGAAGTAGGCAAAAACCTACCGTGTTCGCTACATTACTTTTCTGACGTCAAATAAAACTTAATCTAGTATCGTCTTCTAATCGCGCGATTGACTATACCTAACAAATAAAAAAATAAACAGACGGTGGAAAAATAGTCTTTAATTATCATACGATGTAACTCAATTTAGACGAATCCAGGTCTTTTCCGGTGCTTCAGGCAGCTCTCCTCAAACCTCCCTTAAAAGGCTGGTCATCGCGCTCAGGGATGCTTAAGAGGGTAGTCCACTCGAGAGCAAAATGGAACGAAGCAGACAAAGAAGGATATCTCAAAGAATCGCTAAGTACTTCTCATGGAATACAGACCTCCGAATTGAGGTTCTACTTCTTAACAATCGTTGTCAGACCATCGCTTCCGATGGCGAGACAGATAATAAGGCGTACTTCGAAAACCCGCAATGTAATTACTCCAAACTTGCGGTCAATAAACGGACACGCGATGTACTGTAAACAGGCTCCGAAGGCCATTATCATTTAAAAAAGCGATATTGTGCTGTTTCCTCAATGATGTAGGTCGCTTCGAGAGCTTTGCAGTTGAGTAGATGACCTTTGCAACAATGGCACATGAGGTCGTCTCATCTATCTCCATGCAGGTTTCCAGGTCTCAATCGACAACCAGCCTCTTGCCGCTAGTGGCTTGAACGCGAAATACTTTAATCCTATCGATCTTTAAATGTTTCACACGAAATATCATAGCCCTATGTAAGTACTGAGTGAATTTCGCTTCAACGAATCATTTCGATTCCAATAAATTACATAATTAATTCTGAAACGACATCACTAGCTCGTACGTGATTTTCAGTTAAATCTACAAATAAAATCAGTCTTAGTCACGAATTTCACTAAAACTAAAAAGGTGGGTAGTTACACAAAAAGTTTGAACTCCTCCGATTCGTTGACAAATAAAAATGAACGTATCATTTTTTAAATTAGATTAATCAACGCATACTTAGGCCTACCCAACGACCCTGATGCAACTTTGCCATTACGTCTCGTGAAGGAATATCATTTCGACGGGAAAAAGCGGACATGTAGTACCGTGGCTTTTGGGTTAAATCACTTTTCACCTTTTAAATTTGTATAAAAAAATAAAATACCACTCCGAATGTATAGTTTTCCAACAATTCAATTATTTTGTGGCTCCGGTGTAAGGTTGGTATTTTCAAGTTACTACTATTCCGCTTTCTTCCATCGATTTGTTCGTTCATCTTACTCTAATTGTCAATCATTGCTAGATATATCTCATTACATTACAAAATAAAATCTACAAATCTCAATTTTCACAAACTTACAAAACTACCCTGCAAGTAATTAAGGATACAATAAAACCCTTACGTTTCGTCTACAACGTATTTAGCGGATATCCCTTTTAATTCCTCACAAGTTTTCTTACCTTCGAACAGATTTTGGACCACCAAATTGAGAGCTAGGGCTGCAAAGAGATTACCATTGGCCGTCTCGCTGTTATTCCTCAGGAGACCGGCTAAAATAGGATTGGCTTGCATGGTCATCGAATTAGGTTCATTGATAGAGTTATTGTGCGTCCGCTGGTGCAATAGCATTACATCGGGGTCCTTGAAGCATTTAGTGCACACTTTACATTTGTATGACGTTTTTGTTTCATCATTAACAAAGGTCGGCATTGCAGAATCATTTTTCTCCTGTTGATATGAATCTTCTGAACTCGTTGTTTCTTCTGTGGAGTAATTAGAGAAATTTAATTACTTATCAAATTGAATTGTTTGTCCAGCTCTGAGATTCAAGATAATGGTATAATGTTTCTAGCCCACATTAGTGATTACCCATGTTTAAATTAGGTATGTAACTTGAGACTCCATTGGAAATTAAGAAAAATATTCCAATATAATCTTTACTTCATTTGGTCTCTTGATGGAAGCAATTTACTTGCCTATGGGCTCTGAAAACTGCTTAAAGGCAGGTGTTAATATTTTTGAAGGTCATATTATTAAGATTAATTTAATGCAGCTTCCATCAATATGTATAGGCCACAATTAAGGAATTTCATACACTTGCACATTCATGGCCTTCAAAATGATAAATAATTGTCTCTGTAGAAAACTTGAGGAGGCATACTCCAATTTTGATTGAAATCTTATAAGGGTTAGAGCATAATATCAGTCTGAATTGGCAGGTATCTGCTGAGATGCAATGCTGCGTCTAGTTTGAAGAGCCATTATGAAACACGTATGAGACTTTGTGTCTCAATATTGGTCTTGCAATCACATTCTATTGCCTATGGGTTATAGCAACCACTTAATGCCAGGTGGGCCCTGAGCTTGTTCATCTATCTATACAATAAGAAAGTACCAGTGTTAACAGGCAAAATTACTCACCATTATTTGGACTGGGGGCATCATTTGTGACTGCTTGCATAGCTAGCATGGTCTGTATGTAAATAGCTTGCGCCATTTGCTGTTGAACCTAGAAAAAAAGGGGGTAGTTAGATAAAGCCAAAGTGTTTATGCCTGAATTGTGTATAACTAGATACCAACTATGATATGATTATAAGTAATATACTTTGAGTTTTGGATACAGTTTCCCAAACAATACCAAGGAAATTTAACATTAAGATAGACAAGTCTGTTGCTAAAACACTACTCACTTGCATGGAAGTGGTCAATTACCGAGCTTCAAACTGAGATTACTCAAACAAACACTCTGAAGGTTCTTCCCGAAAAAGAAAAGTTGATGCTTGTAAGATATCTTGCACTCATATGCCTTTAGTCATAACTTCCCAAAGCTGTCTGTTATCATGTACAAATCAACTCAAATTTTGTAAAAGCACAACCATGTCTTTACTTTTTTTATCGCTATTTTTTATCAGCCACCTACCATGATGATGTTAATAATGTCTCAATTTTAGAGTAGCAAGTACTGTTCTTACCTTCAAACTAGAATAAACAAAGTTCTAAAAATTTTGCAACTGAAGTCATACTTATCTTCCAAAAATATCTATTGCGACAGTTAATTAAAAAAACAAAAAACAACACAAGTTTATTATATACCTGAGGGTCCAAAGGACTGTTGGTGACCGGTAGCCAGCTATCCGACTGCCTCCTCTGGTAAGGAAGTGGAGAATCTGACGGTAAATTTCTTGATGGTATAGCATCCTTACGCAATGTTCTCCATTGGCCTACAAATAAGACCACGTAATTCTAGGCTTAAAGTACACTCACTTGTTAGCATAGTTATTAGCTCTGACTGCTGGGTAGGAAGTGCTGGGTTTGATTCCCAGATCAGCCACGGATTCATGTGACTATCAGGTTTATTTGCATGTTGTCTGGATATTTTACTGTTTATAAATATGTTTATGAGAGATACATCAAGTCTGCCAGACTTCACTCAATGACATTAAATGACACTGAACAAAAATCCTTGTTAATTCCATGTACATATATGAATCTACAAAAAGTGTGACTTCCTGATACTATACTTTGTGAAGATTAACGTTACCACACAGCGTCTTTGTAGAGTTTAACAATATTACGGGATATTTCATTTGAATATTAATGAATCAGAATGTGTGAATTTTCTCTAATATTTAATAATTATAATATTCATACTGTAAGTTATATGTTGTGTTAAGAGTGTACAAAACGATAACTTTTATCTACTATTATTAACAGATTGTGAAAAGCAGTTGTAAAAATTTAACGTCCATAATTATTATTACTTGATTACCTTTGTTTTTTCCGACGCTGGTCAAAGTATAGTCTTCCGGTTTGAAGTGCAAACTGCAAACTTTAGAATATTTTGTATATGGTTTGCCTCTCTTTAATATGTTATTCCAGAGTTTTGCTAACTCTTCGTCTCTAGGGAACTGGTGAAAAGATACGTTTTTGGCTTTTCCCGCCATCGATGTGCAGCGGGGTACCGTACAGTAGTAAGGCATCTTTATGTTCATGTACGGCAGGACATTACAATACAGGTTTCAGTTACAAAATTAATGTATTTCGATGAAAACAAACATACTTGGGTTTGTTGAGCAAGCGACCGACATTTAGTTTAGGGATGTTACCCCTCCATCATACTGTTTAGTGAACTAACATATGCTACTCAATCACTCGACTTCTTTAATCGATTTGCTTGTTGTGTTTATTCAGTTTGACTTCAAACTTTGAAGGGAGTTGGCCAATTATAAAAAAATGTCATAGTTAAAATTTACCCAAGTTTTACGGCACGACGCATGGAAAATAGATTGATCAACTTATCGACCGTCGATTTAAATCCAAATAGGGGTTGATGTTATAAATTTGTATCAATTTTAAGGTTATCAACGAAATATCAGTTAATTCTGCAGCATTCGCCGTCCATTAAGATATACACCAGAAATTATAAATTCTTTAATGCGTGGTCGGGTGCATGTGTTCATGGCTGACCGGTTAAGTGAATAACGGAACTCGCAGACGTGAATGCCATGGCTAGTGCAACGTCCCACAGGTGTTCAACTCTTCAAGCTGCATTGCTGATTACTGGCAGAAATAAAGAGTGCTGGGCATACCCGTCCCGAGTCCAGGCTGACAAAGTGCCTTAGCTCTAAAATGAAAGATCGAGATATTTCAAGAAAATTTACGTTAAAATATCTAAATTATGTTTAAATTTTTGAAAGATATAGTAGTACACAATTAAACCAGACTTTCATAACCATTTTAGCAGTGAAAACTAAATTACGCCAACAAAATAAGTTTATTACATGTAAAGCTATTTACTTATTTTAAATTCGATATATTTATATTGTAATAAGTATTTATTATATAATGTAATAATTTAAAACTTTTAATTAGAGTTTTTAATAATGTAAATGGGAGACTTTAAATAAATAAAATATAAGCAATCCCTTTCCATCATTTTTAAACCAATCTATCAAAACATTTCCTACAACCCAATTTGTTAATTTCATATACCGCTTGTTAATTATTTTGGAGATTTTTAGAGGGGTAAGATTTTCTACCGAACATTTTAAATTTTATAGCATTTCGTTTGTATGGAATGTTTAAAAATCATTGTTAAATTTTCAATCGAAATACTACGACTTTAATTAAATTTATTTCTTTTTTTTAAGTATTAAATAATTAATAATAAATATTTAACGTTAATAATTTAATAAGATTTAGTATGAATTATATTAAATAATAATTTTGTCATTTATATTACTAAAAAATGAATGCTAATAATACTTTTTTTACGAGTGTACATGCACGAAAGTTCAACTGCGGCTATATTCAGACTCGCCAAGTTACGTCTGTCGTATTGTAATGAGCGATTTAGTGGGCAACTTCATTCTGTTAATTTTGTGTCACGGTGCGCACGCATCGTAAAATTTCACTCTCATCAGTTTTTCATAACGCGCCTAGAGAAGTATAACTTTAAAATCTTGAGAACAATAATCGATTCCTCGATGAATCGATCTCAAATTTCCATTACATCCATACAAAAGTCGCAAATTCGAAAAAAAAAATACATGGAAGGGAAAAGGTGATACATGTCAAACGTTTCAAGGCTATTATGATGATTCCATTTTTTTCAACAACGTGATAAGGCCTGTAAAAAAATAAAGAAATACATACATATGTAACTTTTTACATAATTGTTAGTGTCTTAATGTGCTGTGTCCGTGTTATATCAGTGCCAATAGCTAATAACGAACTTCTAAAAAGCCATGGGTTATTATTGTACGGTACCACAATGTACATCTTTAGCCGGCAAGACGAAAAACGTGAAATTTCATAAGTTTCCTAAAGATAAGACGATGGAGAAAAGATGGAATGAAATACTGAAGCGCGGGAAACCTGTCACGATATATTCAAAAGTTTGCAGTCTACATTTTACGCAGGCGGACTACAATATTACGACAATGGGTAAGATACGTATCGGGTTTTTCCGTTTACACGAATTTATTTTTTTAACATTTTAACACTCGAACGTGAGTCATTGTGAATGTTTGTGTATTTTTTTTTGTCGTAATGCTACTAACCTCTACGCAAAGAAATTGAAACTATAGTTCGTAAAATGTATTAGGGGATGCGAAAAACTCTTAGTACATATTTATCCAAAATATAGACCATGACAGTTTGATGAATGCATTCAGTATGATTTTAAGGAGTGCGAAACAAAGAAATAGAATTGTTATCAAACAAAGGATGTAAATACAGAAATTGTTTCTCAAAACTATTGCCATAATTTAGATTCACAATAACATATACCCTGCAACAATTGAAAGTCAGCTGAGCTCAATGTGCTGGAGTTTCTGCCAATCACCATTATCAGTTCATGAAGACCCTAAGTCGAAAATATTGCTAGCATAGCTAGCAAATAACGTTCTCGTCAACATGGCTACCATGGCCTTAGCTACTTGGTGTAAAGTTAGATAAAGGTGTAAATTTACTAGTGCACACTCTTCACAAATACCAACTGTAAACTGCTACGCTTGTAATGGTGATCTAAAGAGAATCACAATATATGTTATTGCTAGTAAATATTTGAATCATCGTACCCTCTTTATTTCATTTTACTTAAAGCATTGGTTATTGGTAGTTGCTTTTAACTGATTGAGTTTCTCAGTGGGTCGTGTTTCTGATCCGGTAGTAGATTCTGTGAAGCACTGCTCTTGCTAGGGTCCATGTTAGCATCACTCCAGTTTGAGCCCCGTGAGCTGACCTATATGTTAGGGTGAAACTGATATAGCCTCTCAAGGCTATCAGCATAGGTAGGAAAAAAAATTGTTTTTAATTTAAGTATTGTATAAAATTGTGATCTCTTTCCCCAGGTCACCGCTCCCTTGGTGGCAAATGGTTACCGGTCCCCATAGTTATCACAATGTGACACTCACTGTGATCTTTGAAGTCTATACCTAAATTGTATGGTAAATATGCAAAGTTAATTTTTTTGCAGATTTCATTTTTGCTACATGTTGGAATATGTTAAATCATAGGAAAGTGTTGTTTTAAAATTCAGAACGAATGAGCATTTGTGATCTCAGATGTGCCGAAGAACACTTGGCAATACCACAAATGTAGGAATCATTTATTTTTATCATCAATCAAATAGATCCTGTTGAGCATCTGGATTCCGGAGGGACCAATTGTCATTTTACTTATTTTAGCATTTAACAGGTGAAAGGATAATGAGTGGCTACCTTCATTCGGGAATGATTGCTGAAAAGCAATGGCAAGCAATACACATCAAACAGCACCACAGTAATAGTGAAGGATTGGAGATTAAACTGTAAAACTAATTTTAATGATCAATAAAAATTATTGGGAAAAAATGAGCACACATGGCTTGAGTCTGAGAGAATTTGCTAACACTAGTTCTAGTGAGAGCAGTGCTTCTTAGAATCTACCACAGGATCAGAAATGTGACCCACTGAGAAGATCCAGCCAGAAACTCAGTGGGCTGTGTCTGTGGGTCAATTTACTCATCAAACTCATTCGACAGGCTCAATGAGGACAGAGACCGGTGCTTCTGGTACCCAAAAGCACCGATAGTGAATCGGGAGGATCCGCAATGACGTGTTTAGGGCGACGTCGACTGTTTATCATTCGGTCCGCAGGGTCGGGTGATTGGATGCGAGTGCGCATATATAGATAAACATTCAGACAAAGAGCAAATAAACCTATTAAAGACTCATTCGAACGTTCATGAATGTTTGTCCGATGCGGGAATCGAACTCACGACCCTTGGCGCGACAGTCAGGAGCGCTAAGTACCGCGTCACCGAGTCAGCAATTATTCAATTCTTTTAAATTCTTCGTTCGCAAAGTCCTTTTTATTTTTCCTACCTAAGCTTGAGCCTTGAGAGGCTATTTCAGCGTAACCTTAACAAGTGAGGTGAGCTCACGGGGATCAAACCTGATGACGTTGCTAACACGAACCATAGCAAGAGCCGTGCTTCGCAGAATCTACCACCTGATCGGAAACGCGACCCACTGAGAAGATCAGGCGAGAAACTCAGTGGGCTGTGTCTGTGGGTTAATTTACTCGTCGAGGCCTTCGTCGCAAGCGACGGGTTCAACGAAAAGCGTTGACCGGTGCTTGAAGTACCTAAAATCACCGTTAGCGGATCGGGAGGATCCGAAATGACGTGTTTTGGGGGACGTCGACTGCTTTCCATTCTGTCCGCAGGATCGGGAATGTAGTTACCGGCGGCCACGATGAGAGGGTTCTCGTGTCGTGCCGCTTTATGGAAGTGGATGCTGAGTCCGGTGCGAACACGCCGCGTGGAACAAAACCGACAAACTCATTTGCCCGGGTTTTTCATTAATTGCAAACAATAACATAATTATCAACTGCACTCGTGCGCTGTGCTCTCTGGGGGGATTCCTGCAGTTGAAAAATAACATATATATTCAATGTATAAAACGCGATATTTTGATAGCGGAATGTCGAATGTCAAACATGAATGTTAGATTGTATGTATTCCATAGGATTTTTGAATAATATATGCTATTTATATAATTAAGAGATCATACGTATTTTAAGCGCTATGTACATATGGTAGGCGATGCTAAAAAGGGCTAAGGTACCTACATAAAATTGCCTTTTAATTATCTCACGTATAATTCGGGCTTAAAACAAGTTTGAAGATGTATCAAAGATCACGTTTTCATTTTGAATGACGGCTGGGGAATTCTCGAGTGGTGATCGCGTACCGAAAGACGTGACGTGGGTTGACCTCAACAAGATGGACCGATGACCTGGTGGTAGGACCTCTTGTGAGTGAAGCAGTAATGCGTTTCGGCTTGAAGAGCGGGGCAGCCGTTGTAGCTATACTTGAAACCTTAGAACTTATATGTCAGTGCAGGTGCCCGCATTCACGTTTTAGATGTCTATGGGCTCCAGTAACTATTTAACACCAGATGGGCTGTGAGCTCGTCCACCCATCTAAGCTATAAAAAAAAAACTATTTAACATTTAAAACACTAACAGAACACTTGACAAATCGCATTATTCTGCTTCGCTTCGAGTAGATCTGATTACTACTCGTAACTGCCTTCGTGTCATCTCTGCAACGCTTTTGTAGTTGATACGACATCTCCGCAATTATCGAGAACATTCTTGATAGGTCGAGTAGCTTCGATATGTGTTTCCGCTATCTGACAATAGATGGCGTGGTACTTCTCGAGCGTTCTCGGTTTTACTAGTTCCTTTGATATTCGCTTCCACAATTCGACGACAGATGGCGTTGCTCTTACCGACGTAACAATATCAAAGTCTTCAATCTAACCAATATGAATTCCAAGATACGCTTTCTTCATATACCTATGGCCATCCCCCTCTAACCAGCTTTAGAGTCTTTTGGTTTTTGTAGGAGAAACAAGGGCTCTGTGTTAAATTACTGCCCATAGACAACATGAGTCTATTCTAGCGCTAAAAGTGGAGCTTTTGAGCAATTTGCAACCTATGCTCCCCACAATGTTCCAGTTTTGTGTTATTATTTAAGAAACCGGCCTGATGCTGAGTGGTCTCAGACGCTCATATTCATCAGCAGTGCTGGGGGCAAGATGGAGGGGGTGGTGGTCTGGAGCAGTGTAGACAGTTTTCGATTTATTCAATATCTCTTCTCTCAGGACAGTGGAAGACGCTTAACAAGGACGCTGTGCCTTCGCAGAACTTGCCGAAATTGAACCCTGATGGCTCCGTCATGGTTATAAGGAAGAGTCGTACAGTTAAATACAAGGAAACCAAGAAACACGAGATGAACGGGTAAGATTAGAGAAATCTATATATATAAAAACAAGCTATTGCCCGCGACTCCGTCCGCGTGGAATAGTTACTTTGGCATAACGCTAAATTTTACCCGCCTCTTCATTTACGTAGAAAGTGAAAATATTTTTGAATTATAGAATGTTAAGGAAGCTATTTAAACCCCTATTTTGAAACATTCTTTATTGGTGCTCCACTTGTATTGGTCTTATCGTTATGCTATATAGCCTATAGCCTTCCTCAATAAATGGGCTATCTAACACTGAAAGAATTTTTCAAATCGGACCAGTAGTTCCTGAGATTAGCGCGTTCAAACAAACTCTTCAGCTTTATAATATTAGTATAGATGAATTGCTGTTCGTTAGTCTCGCTAAAACTCGAGAACGGCTGGACCGATTTGACTAATTTTGGTCTTGAATTATTTGTGGAAGTCCAGAGAAGGTTTAAATGGTAGATAAATATGAAAGTGCTCAGAATTAAATAAACAACAATTTTGTTTTTCCTTTGATGTGTCCCCCGTCGGATGGATTCCTTTTGTTTGTTTTAAGTTTCTTTTATACAAAACTTTAGGTCTTTTATTTATCGATTGAGGCACTACGAAGTCTGCCGGGCAGCTAGTATCTATTAAAATACATGGTCCATCGTAAGCTTTCAGCTATGGACCGGTTTTACTCCTTAAATTCGGGGACTAGAAATATAAATAATAATAAATAAATAAATAAATAAATATTTACTAACAATCACGTCACGTTAACTGGTCCCGTGATAAGTTTGTAAAGAACTTGTGTTACAGGTACCAGATAACGGATATAAATGTAAGATTTTTATTATACACATACATATATTTAATATACATCCATAACCCTGGAAAAGACATTTATATTTATCATACAAATATCTTCCCTTGGCGGGATTCGAACCCGCGACCCCCTTGTGTAGTGACCATNGTAAAGAACTTGTGTTACAGGTACCAGATAACGGATATAAATGTAAGATTTTTATTATACACATACATATATTTAATATACATCCATAACCCTGGAAAAGACATTTATATTTATCATACAAATATCTTCCCTTGGCGGGATTCGAACCCGCGACCCCCTTGTGTAGTGACCATGTCACTTACCACTACACCAGACGGCCGTTAAAATAAAAAATAAAAAAACGAGACATTTTTTTTCAATCAATTATCTAAATATTTATTTAACTTGTTTTCATTAGTTAGGATCTTCAATTGATTTCTATTTGTTATAAAATTAAATAAACTAGTCGTCCCCCAGTAGTGGAAATTCGGCTATAATTAATTGAAATTGTAAGTTTGAACATTATTACGATTCTATTGTCAACGACTACTTCTATAATCACAGATTTCGCCAAGATTATTAAAGACAAACAATATTAAGTTAATCTAAATTTGACCACAGACTTTAAACATTAACAAAAGTTTGACAATAAACAAAGCGTATATAAATATGTGCTGTGTCAAATACATGGTAGTGTGTGTAATGTTATATTTATCGATTTAATGTGTTTTTATGCACAATTTAAAAAAATATTAACATTCTGCACTCCTCTATATTCTCTATAAGTGTTTGAAATTTGATACTCCTCCGTCCGCGCAATTTTCGTAAAATGGGGTACAAAGGTTTTGCTTCACGTATTAATTTAAAGACAAATTATTAATTTAAAATTTATTAATTTAAATAAATATTAATTTACTTCAAGGAAGACTAGACTGACAGCTTAACTTAACCTAATATAATATTAAATCGAAAACAGAAAGTTCTTCAAATGAGGCTTGCGGAGAGTATTTAACTGTAGGCAGCGGCTTGGCTCTGCTCTTGGCATTGCTGAAGTCCATGGACGATGGTAACCACTCACCATCAGGTGCGCCGTATTGTAGGCTTCCCATTGTAGGCTCGTCTGCCTACAATGGGAAATAATAAAAAAAATATAATAATAAAAACAATTTAAAGATCCTCACCAATGAAGCGTAAGTTAAATTAATTAATTAATTTATTTATTTGGGAATTCAAAAGTACAAAAACATATAATATATTAAAAATTGATAAACAAACACCAAACCAGTTTCCACAGTCAACATTAAACATGAGTCCTCTACTCAAAACAGAAAAAGAAAGAATTTTATAAATTTAACTTTACAAAAAACACAACACAATGCGCTCATATAAATATATCCATCTCTATTTTATGTGTGTACATGCTTAAATTATTATCTTTATTTAAATATTTCTTCTGTGCGTGTGTTTGTCGCTCAACTCCTAAACGGCTGGACCGATTTTATGATTTTTTTGTATGCGTTTTGGGTGGCTCCCTGGATGCTTTAGATTCAAAAATCAGACCGCAAGATGGCGCTGCAGTCGGTATCTTGGTTATTTATCTTTCCTAGAAATAATTTATATGGCAAAACAATAATTGCCGGGCCAGCTACTATATCTTAAAACTTTATAATACACATCGGACTTAACTCAGCTTGAAGTTAATAAAGTTAAAACAAAACTAAATATATTCATCATCAAATATAATAACTAACTATCTCGATACTACTTACGCTAGCTAAGCGTTCGGTGTGCCTAGTGCCAGTTTTTTAACGTTTTCGATCGCGTAAAAGTTAACTCAAAGGGAAATGCCCATTTCAGGACCAAAGCGGACAATAGATTAGAGAAAAAAGTACTTAGTGCATTAATTTTGTCATAAATAAATATGCATTTACTTTCTTCCAAATGAGCGCCACTACAGTTTACAATAAGTAGTTTTAAAAAAGTACCTCTATTAACGTTTCATACTACGACTGAAAAACATTGTGTGAATTGTGGTTTTAACCTGACTGAGATTCAAAACCTACATTGGATAAAAATACCTTAGGAACATCTCTCTTATCATAATTAATAAATTAAAAATTAAGAATTGAAAAGTTCTTTAAGTATCTCACAATCCGACACTTATTTATATAGAAAATTAACCTCAAAACTATTTTTTTTTTTAATAGTGTCCTCAATTTCAGTCCATTTTTATAGTAATATTTGATGTCCATCTTGGGCCCAGCACACTATGGAGAGTGGGCATTCCCCTTTATGAAGTCTGCTATCATAACATCCCATCTTGCCTAGATACGTAGGCGTTGGTTCTACTCCAGGGCTTAACATCGACCCTCGCTTCCTCCACGATATATACGCTCTCTATAGGTTCCTCTCTCAATTTTATAGCATTAAAAAAATGCCAAGCGATGAGAGATTATTAAGGTGTCAATGAAAAGTACCATCACTATGAATTTAATCAAATATTTTAACGAATATGTAGCTTGTAAAAGTATTAGAAATATGTTTCGCAGGAATTTATTTAAACGTTATTTACAAGTGATTCTATCCAAACGTTCTTTAATGGGCATTAAAGATTTTAACCACGGATATCTGGATACTGATCTGATTATCTGGGAACTAAATCAATAGAATGTCAACATATTGTTACGCCGGTAAGAGTAACGCCATCTATCGCCGAATAGTCGAACGAATACCAAAGGATCTTGTAGTATCTAGAACGCTCGAGAAGTCCAACGCCATCTGTTGTCAGATAGCGGAAACACACAATACTAGAATTTTGTGGAATGTTCTCGACGATTCTAGGGATTTCGTCACAACTATAAAAGCGTTGCAGAGATGGCACGCAGTTAGTCAGTAATCGAAGTGTTTGTTGAGTGTTTTAAGTGTTCTAAGTGCTAATACGGTTTTAATTTGTACTTCGGTAGATTTTTTTATCTATCTATCCCGAACCCCCAGCGCGTAACAATATTATAAGTAACCATTCGTGAAAACAGTTCCACGTGCTTCTCGAGAAAAGCGGTATTAATCAATCAATTCAGGTCGAGTACTTTGGTCATATTGCTCGGAAAACACCTGAAGCTTAGAGAGACTGTAGGATGCTTAACGACAGAGGGAAGTTCTTCCACTGAGCGGGTGATATTGCTCGGTAGACCGACGGTCCCAATCTTGTTATTCGGAACTTGTATTGCAAGCTTATCTTGAAAATGTCGTAAGCGAGATTCAGGCATTTGTCAAATATCTTGTGTTGTATGATGGCTACCGCCACAGAGACTATCCGTGACAGGGAAGATCGAGGGAAACAGACCGCCCACAAGAGACAAGTTGGTTAGATCACATCCGCACCACACTAGAAACCCCATTCCACGAAGCCCTTCACGCGGCGAATGATCGGAAACCCTGGAAAGACATATTAATAAAGTCCTGTCTAAACATGATGGCCGCGATCTTCAGCAGTGAGGAAACGAGGAGGAGAGTTCAGCGAATTTGTGCCGAAGAAATATAGACATTTCTGGCCATTAGGTAGCCGCAAAGGGCGAGATAGTAGATGTCGTTAGGGCCTCTAGGCCTTTACTACCTGGTTCATTCTAGCGTCTGTCTGACCCTTAATCGCATAGTCTGCCTGCGATGTGAACGTATCTTAACAAATACTTGACTATGATACTAAAATTGATTCATTATCAATATTATTTATACACAATTTTGTTGTTCTCAACGTGTTTCTATTGAAAAGCATTTTTTTTAAAATAAACACTGCAAGAGCTTTTTAAAGCTTCGACATGTTTGATGCGTCCATGTCGTTTTAATGTTACTAGATGATGACCGAGCTTTGCTCGGCTTAATTTTTATTTTTTATAACGCCATCTTGTTGTGTCTTTAAAGCAGTAAAAATATTATTGAGTTGTCACTCCTGGCTTTATTTTTTATTGCCCTTGTAGGCAGACGAGCATACGGCCCACCTGATGGTGAGTGGTTACCATCGCCCAAGGACTTCAGCAACGCCAGGTGTAAAGCCAAGTCGCTGCCGCAAATCCTCATCTTTCTTCATCAGTCACGACTAAGTGGTAAGGTGTCTGGACATACAGCCACCGTTCAAACAAAAAAATGTCTGCATTTTGACCATAGACGCATAAGCATATTTTGCGGTAGGTAGCGGCT